AGATTGAGGAAGACACGTACCACCCATAGGGGTGAGAGGGGAATTTTTATAAATAATCTGGTAGTGTGTGTTTGTGTGTGTATATTGGTATGTACATATATGTGTGTGTGTGTATACACTCACATGTATCCATATATGTATGTGTTCCTTTGAAAGCTTATTTTCTCCTTTTAAAAACTTATAAATCAGATAAACTTGGAATATCCTTGTAATTACAATTTTTTGTCTTTTTAATGTTTTCATTTGATGTGGGCTTTTCTTCTTTTGTCTTCGTATCTGCTGAATTGTTCATTTTTATGTTTAGCACTATTCCTGAAGAGCAATAACCTGTGTTCAGAAAGAGCTGAATGGAAGTTTAGTGCTCTTTGAAAATTGCGCTAACCCCATGTTCAAAAAGAGGCCAGCTGTCAGCTGGCATACATGGAGGACGTTGCACTGGGAAACAGCAAAGAGAGGACTACTGTTTGGGCTGATCCCGGTCTCTGAGCCAGACTGAAAGAACCAGATTCTCCAGCTGCCCAAACCAGAATGGCTCTAGGGGCCAGTTGCCATGCACTGGAGGAGAGGGGGCATTCCTGCACCAGCCTAAAGTGGTCAACAGGAACCAGACCAATCTCAACCCCTAGGAGTCACCTAACCACACAACAACAGAATGGTTGGTAAAGCATGGGAGATTGCATCCAGAGCAAAATATTGGGTCAGGAAAAAAGGGGACACACTTTAAAGATTAATATTCAACTGAAAGCAGAATTTTTTGGCGGGGGGCTAGGACTTACGGATAGTCAGTTAGAAAAGACACATGGAAGATTGTTTTTTTATATGGTAACTGCAATGAGATTGTTATATGCAATAGAAAGATAGAAAGACTCTGAAATACCCACAATGGAGGAATGGCTGGTGAAGATGACAGAACTTGCAGAAATGGCAAATCTGATATGTCTGATTATGGAGAACACCATAACTACATTCATCAATGGCTGGAAACCCTTTATGGACTTTTTGTTGCAAATGGAAAAAAAATGAACTTGTGATTTATGGGCTTGATGATTAGAATGGGTAAAATATGTAAAGAAGGGAGTTATGATGTAATTTTAAAGAGAGAGGATGAAGAATAATGCATTTATAACTGCTGTAAAGAAGATCAGAAGTCACTCCTTTATATCTCTTTTCTTTTCTTTTTCCTTCTTTTCTCTCTCTTCTCCTTTTTTTATCTACCCACCACCTTTTTAAACTTTTCTTTTTTTCCTTTTTTTTTCTAAGTTTGTATTGGTTTTATTCTGTAAAAATTTATTAATAAAAATTAATTTTTTTAAAAAAGGAACACACTACTATAAAACCGGAACAGTTAAGAATGATTTAAGACTGCCTCTAATATGGGCTGGGGACTAGATGAGGCAATGGCATGAGGACATGGCATACCCAAAAAAGTTGGTGGAGCATGTTTGTTCAATCACAGGCAATCACTGGCAAGTCTAGCATTAGGCAGGTCAGCACGTGCACAAACACAAACAGTCCTGTCAAAGCTTTTGAGTCAGACACAGTACTGAGTTACTCACCAGTATTTGGTTGCCTTCCTCTCAGCCTTCACAAACTCTCTCCAGACCTTGTCTTGTTGGACCTGATCCCTCTTGAGAACTTCTTGTTCTTCTCCATGGAGTCTGCCTGAGGCTTTCACTGAGGTCTGTGTGGCAACAAGTGGGCTTCTTCCAGACCAGCTGCTGCTCAGGGAAAGAAAAGAGGATGAGGCTAAATCTCCGGCCGAGCTGGTTGCCGGTAATGGATACTCTGCTGATGTAGTGCTCCTAAGTCCGTTCGCTTTGCTTCCCATCGTATATGCCTGGTTTATACTACATAAAATTGGATCATCCCTCAAAAAAGTATGGGCAAGTGTTAGCCAGAATGCAGTTTGCTTACCGATTCAGAAATTTCTTGCCTAACATTTTCTCATAAATGTTAAATACGCAAGACAAATGCATGAAGAATTTTGAAGTGTCCTGAGCAATTTTGGATCACACTTGTGAGAGGACCCAGCAATGTATTTTTGGACAGTTCAGATTGCACAGGAACTCCGAAGAAGTGTCACTGCATTAAAAAAAACAAAACCAAACCGTGACTCGCTGTCTGTATGTATAGGTTCCGGAAATATAAGCAGTAATCCTCTATGGTTTCCAACATCCACACTGCCCCATAAAGCTTTCCAAACACATAACAATGGACAGTGGCAAGTAGTACTAAAAGGATTTTTTCTGAATTGCCACAGCTTTTGTGGCAGAGCTGAAACAAAAGACACAGGGAGCCTGGATTAGCCCCGTCTGTTTACTATCTCCATTGGAGACCAGACTCCTTGCCATGAATATTCATCATGGACAGAAGGCGTGCACTCAGTAAAGACAGCTGCTGGAGGGCTTGGTGAAATTTTTAAGTTGCTGCTAAGATTCTTCTTCTTTTTTTAAGGAGGATGACTTTCAAATCCCTGCTTTTGTTGTCCTTTCTCTAAAAATACAATTCTTGGCTGCACAAGCAAACTTGCACCCATAGACACAAGGAAACCCACTTCAGTCTTAGATAACAGATATTTGGATTCGTCTTAGTTTCCCCAAAGCACACTGCCCAATTGTTTCCTGGGAACCAGCTTGGAGAAAGTGGTGCTTGAAAGATGGAGGGTAGGAGAGTAAAAGCAGCCGCGTCTACCAGACCATACCCTCACCGAATCTTTCCCAACATGCAGGCATAGAATTGTATTTTGGGAAAGTTATTCTTCTTCCCAGCTACAATCAGCCAATACCTGTAGACCTTGAAAATTGTTTGTGAAGGGAAAATCATTTGATACCTTCAAAGAGCCCTTTTTACAACACTCAAATAGATAAGACTTCTTTCTAATGGCAAACAGCCCAAATTGCAAAACTGATTTTAGCCAAAAGAGGGTGTTGTAGGACAAAGCAATCCATGCTGACATCTTAATGAATTTCTCATTGCCATCTTATAAAAGGTCTCTATAATGCTAACTTGGCGGGCTGAAATGCCCACATATTATACTGAAGCTAAAAGATCTCTATTGGTGCCACTCTGCTAGTAAGCCAGATTAAAAAAAAACCCACACAACATAAAAATCAAAATAAATAATACAATTATACAACCCTAGAGCAGAGTCCACCTAATATCCTACCCCAATATCTGAGGGAATAGCTCAGTGTTTTATGCGTTTCGGGACACTGCCGACATTGTCTTTTAATGCATTGCTTCTACCCTGGTTTATTTTAAAAGTTTGTTAGGATTTATAAATCACTTTGGGATGCTCTGTAACTATCCATGCTATAGAACAACTGTTGATAAATAAATAAGTGTCCCAATTTATTGCTTCAATGTTTTATTTAATGCCACTTTACTAAACAGAAATTTATACTGACTTCTGGATAGTTTTATCTATTATATCTATTTAGCTGCCAGCTGTAAGATTAATCCAGTTAAGTCCCTTTCAGATAATCCCATTGAAATAAAGACACTTTATAGCAAAACAATTAACCATCTCCAGCCTAATGACCTTGAAAGACTACAACTTCCATCACCTCCATCCACCGTAGGTTTAGCCATGATGTCAGGTATGATGGAGCCTTATGTATCTGGCAGACACCAGTTTGGGGAATGTGTGAAATGCCTTGTAGCACTCATCTTAGATCTAACAGTACTTGAATTCAGTATTACAGTATGTTGTCTTGTAGGAATGCTGCCTTAAAATATGCATGTGCATTCAAATCCTTTGTGGAAATATCTAGTCTCTGGGAAGCTCCATAGGAGTGAGATCCTGTTTTTGATATGTCATGGGCATGTCTTACCTTCCTATTTTTCTTGCACATAATTGTTCTTCAGAATATCCATCTAATAGGAGTCTTGGGAGGTGCACACCCCATGGCAGAGAGCTATTAAGTCAGAGAACCCCCATATCCTGTGTTGTAATTTCTAAGACTAACTGAAGCAGGGACTATCAAATATTCTACAAATTCAATTTCTAAAGTTCAGAGTTATTTGAATTATATTTAAGAATCCTTTTAGCTTGCCTTTCAGAATACAAACCCAAGTAGAACACTGCAATAATTAGTTTCAAATTGAATCGAATCCAGTGATAATATCCAAAGGTATTAAAAACCAGCAGCTATTGTAGCACCGCAAAAATATGACAAATTCCTTTTTAGGACTTTCCTAATGGCCTGCAGTGTTTCTTTAGTGTTTCTTTTTCACAGTTTTCCTACTGCAAGCATCAAGCTCTGTTGCAGTTCTGTGATTACACAGTCAGTAACTGTGTCTGCCAAATTCTAGGCTTCATACTGTAATTCAAATAAATCTGAAAAATTTAAATATACAGTACCTTACAAGGTTTATACCTCTGCCATATTTCCTGTAAGAACATCCTGTAGTGTGTTTTGAGCAAAGTTATATCAACAGTCTCAACAACAATAGTCACTAACAACATATGGAAACCAATGGTTGAACATACCTTCTTGGGTGAATTTGGGGGTCCAAATCCAATGCCTTGGAAAAAGGACTTTGAAAAGCCATATTGAGGGAAAGTTACTTTGCTCCAAGGATTCAGAGAAGCAGTGTGCTTCCCCAGGCACACTATTTGCCAACAATATCAATTGCCTGTTGGCAGAAGAGTATACCATGGCAACCTCAGCATATGTTTGCAGTTCAAATACATTGCCATTGGTTGACGGATCTATGGGAGTTTTCCAAGAGGCTCTTCTAATTGCTTCAGCTACAAATCCCTTGAGATCTGGACAAGGCGAATCTCTCAATAAGCCACTTCTCCTGTCCCCAAACAAGCAAAAAGCATTGCAGTTGACAGGCAGTACGATTCAGAAAGAAAGCAGTTCATGAGTACCATATAGGCCAGTTATTCATTTTTTCCTGCATGAGGGAAAAAGGCTGCTTTACACATGTGATTAAAATTGGGGGAATGATTTCCAAGGGCGGATTAGGATTTTCACATCCGTGCCACGGCACTAACCTCATTCCCTATGCCAGGGCTATCCTGGGGAAGGATGAGGGGGGAGGTAAGCAGCTGCCTGGGACAACTTTCCCTAGTTCTCACAAAACGAGGAGTCCCCAGACTCAGTTGCTGTGCATACTGTGGGCTCCTGCCTTCTCACATTTGCCACGGGGACTCTAATTGGGTCCGTGGTAGGGTGGGGCTCCCAACAACCTTCTTGTTCCAAGCCTCCTACACCTTCAGGGGGTTCCTGGCCCACATCTCCACATATGATGGGTTTCTTCCATTTTTAAAAGGCAAATAGCTGGATGTTTGCCTTTTGAACAAGAGGAGCCAGATTTTTCTTTTTTTTAAACACATACTTAAATTTGATTTAATTTAAATTTGGTGAATGAATCTTAAATTAACTAAGTACTGTTAATATGATTACTATACATGTATTAAATAAATTAAATCTCATTTAAAATAATAGTATGATGGCAACCTTTGGCCAAGGTTTTGGGGCCACAATCAAGGTTTTAGGAGGCTCCATGCAGCTTGACAAGCTCAAACTTTGTGCAACTGATTCACCATATTTCACAAGAAAGCAAATGGGAAAAGATGCTTTAGAGATCACTTTATGACTTTGCCTTTGGTACACAATTGGCTTAATCTTCCCACATCAATAGATTCAATTTTGACATTAAAGGTGCATCTTGATTGTTTTTGCTCAGAGATATCTTAACTCAAGTGTCTTCAGAATAATTAGTCTTTCTTAAATGAACTCTGTTCTTCCAGAAGGAAAGGCTTAATGGATGGGTTTACCTCCTGTACTATGATGTCCCTGAAAACACATTTTGACTCATAACAGAGGGCCACCTTTAAGTTCTCTGTTGGGTTTGTTACAAGGAAAGTCTCACTGGGGAAAATGGGCTGTACTTATGGCAAACAGAAGCTAAAGCAAACAGTGGCTACATAACTTTCGTGGCTTTACAGAATGAGGCAGAATATATATCCATATATCCATTATACATTCTTCCATAAGGAACATTTGTGCTAGAAATCTATCCCAGGAGGCTCTTTGACTTGTCATGCAGTCAAAGGAAGCTCTAGCTTGGATTACCTGTCTGGCAGTGAACTCTTGGCTAGTAAAACTCTTGGGGAGGGCATGGCATATGTTCCACACAATCAGAGCTCTTCAACGGCAGCAAACTTAGCTAGGGAGGTGAGAACAACTTTTTTAACCCAGAAGAAACTCAGAGCAAATGGCCCTAATCCTGATCTGTGGCATTAAATATCCAGTTATTTCCTCTTGGATTCTAAGAAATGGGATTGTTGAAGGTAATATTGCCCCACTGAGACTTCAGAAATGCTGTTTTCACATATTATTGTTAATATGCTCCCAGATTGTATGTAAGTAACAAAATATGTTAGCATTCTAATCTTCTTCATTGTAAGTTGCCTTGAAGGCATTCCAAATATATATGAAATAAATACAAATAACTCTGCTATTATCTGAACTGGGAGTGAACCATCTGACTTCTACATGTTTTTATCAGTCTTGTTCTATGACAATACCAGGTGAAGATTAATCTTTATATTCAAGGAGGAGAGAAGAAAAAACAAGCTGATGGACAGAATGTATCTTGTCTTCCTTCCTGTCCTGTGCTCTGCTTGTTTATTACCCAGGCTTCTTTTCCAAATAGGCAAATGATTAATAAAGACGCAAAAAAGGAAGATATATATATATCTTAACATCTATATATATGTGATGACAGTGTTGATTCCTTTATGGAGTTAGGTGTAAAAGTCCTTTGTTCAAAAAAGGGCACGTCTAGGAGTTGTTTGCTAAGCTCACAGTT